CTTGCCTACCTTTCACTCCACACATGCACAGGTTGGCTTTAGACAAAGAGGTTTTTTTTGTTTTAAGTTTATTTATTTTGAGAGAGTGCACAAGAGTGTGTGCACATGCATGAGCAGGGAAGGGCCAGAGAGAAAGGCAGAGAGAGAATGCCAAGTAGGCTCCATACTATCACCATGGAGCCTGACATGGGATTCGATCTCACAAACTGTGAGATCATGACCTGAGCCAAAGTCAAGAGTCAAACACTTCACCAACTGGCCCACCCAGGCGCCCCAAGGCTTTAGCCAAAGACTTACGGGATTCCCTATGCAGACCTCTGCAGATCTTACTTGCTGGAACTTTGCCCTTTCGATTCTAACCCTCTTGGCCTCCCCGATCTCATTCTCTTCACTTTAGCAAGATTGCCAACCTCTGTTCGGATTCCCTCTCCCTGTGTTGCAGTCCAGAAATTGTCTCCAACATACTCAAGGGGCATCCTAGGCATGCTTCTGGAGCTTTTACTCTGCACAGTTCGCTCCTGCAAATTCCAGCCGTCTTCTCCTCCCCCAACACTTTCTCCTCAGCTCCGTGAGACTCTGGCAAAGTGGTCTAGAAAATGCCTCGTGACAGAAAGCCAGGACAATCCTAAGGCTTATTCCACTTGCTTCCCTTCTTTTGGGATCACAGTCCTGCAATGTCTGCTGCCATTTTCTCCAATTTTCTAGTTGTTTATAACAAGGGGACTAAGTCTCATCCAGCTTTATCATGGCTAGAAGCAGAAATCTCACTTACTTTTCAGTAATTTTCAACTATAAAACTGTGTGGTCACATGCTTAGTCGGCCTCCTCCAGTAGAATGTAAGCCCCATGAGGGTAGCAACTGTGTTACTGAATGCACAGTGCCTAGTACCAGGCTGCAACACGGTAAGAACTATGAAGCAAACGATATATTATTGTAACCCTGGGGCTAGGTGTTGGCATGAATTGGTGAAGGGAGACACAATGGGGGTGTGGAGGGAGGGAAGTGGACCACATGACACAGACAGACCCGCCAGGGCCCATGTGGTTGCCAGACTTGCACTTGGATCTCATTACCAGCCAGGACTATTCCTGTGACACATGCTTTCCACTTGGACCTGGACATTTTTCACAATACAAGACTGGCAATAAATGCTTCAAAATGCTGGGTTTGTGTTAGGCTATGCTTTCCATAAGTTCTGTAGTGTCATTAGAAAATTTTAAATAATTTTTAAAGACCCACACACCTATTATTGTCTATGCTTTTATTGCCTAACGAATTCTTGGTTGGTGTAAACTTCAGATGGCTATGGTAAAGGCAGCCAAGTGACGTAATCATCTTCTCCTCCCAGTGTCACACAGCCTGGGTGACTTCTGTCTCCTGAGGAACAGGGTCTCAGGTACCACTAACTCCTACCCTCACTATCTTCCCAATCTGCTCAGTTGCCCCCAGCTGGTGTTACAGAAGTACCTGGATTAATCCAGTAGGCTTTACAGATGTTGGCTAATGTGCAACTGTAGTCACACCAATTGCAACCAGAGACATGCCACAAAAGATGTAACCGTTCCTGGCCATGGGCCACCTCTGACCTAACCTACCAGCTAAACACATGGGTCTCCTGTCTGAAGTGAGAGATCAGAACAGACCCCAATTATGAGAGATATCAAATTTCTTGCAAGTAGGCACTTACTGGCATGCGATCACCATTGGTGCATTCCAGATCTGTTGTATTTCTTCTTTCTGCTGCCCTTCTTTCCGCCTCCCGCCCTCCCATAGGCAACCAATCCATTGTTAAATATGTCTTGCTTTATGTGTGCATTTTAAATTTATGCAAATGGTATTGTTCTGTGTTCCATTCCGTTTCTCGCTTGTTTCCACTAATGTATTTGCTCAGCTCCATCCATGTTGCCGTGTGCATAGTTAATTCACTGCCTACCCAGCCGTCTCCCCAGTGACAGACAACCAGCTCACCTCCAACTCCACAAACAGCACCGCAACAAGCAGCCTTGTAGACTTTCCCTTAAGTGCCTGCGCGAGAATCTCCTTCAGACACGTATCATGGAGGGGAAATGTAGGGTCACATGATAGACATCTTCTTGGCAAAATAGTGCCAGGTTACTCTTGACACATGCCTGTACAGTTTCCCTAACCCGGGGTCTCCCACCCCTGGCACTGTTGACATTCTGGACCAAATTATACTTTGTGGCGAGGGGCTGTCCTGGGCACCGAACGATGTGTGGTAGCATCTCTGGCCTCTACCCACTGGAGGCCAACAGTACGCTCCCCCTCAGTTGTGATCACGGGGGGGGGGGGGCGGGGAGCAAAATCACCCCCAGTTGAAAACCACTGCTCTATCCCATTTCTGCCAACACGTGGCATTAGCCGGCTAATTTTTTTCTCTGAGTCCCTTTTCACATGTTTGTTGGTGTTTTGATTTCCTCTAGTGTTAATTCTCTGCTAAGGTTGCTGGCCTCTTGCGGATTTGCAGGAATGCACGTGTCTCCTTGATATTGCTCCTTTATGGGAATTGACATAGCAATGACCTTCTCCTGTCTTTTCAGCTGATTAACTCTCTCCGTGGTGCGCTTTGCTGAGAGAAATCCTACGTTTTCATGCAAGAGATTCATCCATACTTTTGCTTTATGGTTTGTACTTTTAAACTTTTATTTAAGAAGTCCTTCCTTGCTCTGGGCCACAAAGTATTTCCCTCTGTTAACTTTACACCTTTACCTTTAATCCTTTGGTCTTGACTTCAAATGGAACCCATCTTCTTTTCTCTTTTTTCTTAATGTTTATTTTTGAGAGAAACAGAGCGCAAGCAGGGGAGGGGCAGAGAGAGAGACGGAGACACAGACTGTGAAGCAGAAGCCCAGCTTCTATACAGCGTTGGGTAAGAATCTGTGCTTACATCTCTCCATGGGGTGAGCCCCCCCCCGGCCCCCGCCAGTCTGTGGTGCCACTTTGACTGTGAACTGAGATCTCATATACACATGGGTTTGTCCTTGAGGTCCTGACCCTATTTCACTGATCTAATGATCTATGCTCAAACCAATACCCACAAACTGCATGTCTATGGCCTTCCAACATGTTTTCATAAATGATACCACAAGTCCACCCTCCCATACTTCAGTGAATGTTATTTCTCCATCTACAACTTAGTGTAAATTTGTCAGATTTCTCAAAACCTTCAGCCATGATTTTTGTTACAGGTGCACTAACTTCTATTGATTTGGGGAAAATGAACATTTTTATATTACATTATCCTACCCAGGATTACTCAGATCAAAAACTACATCTTCTATCTCCTTTTCACTGTTTTTTAATGTTTATTTATTTTTGAGAGACAGAGTGCGAGCAGGGGAGGGTGAGAGAGAGAGGGAGACACAGAATCTGAAACAGGCTCCAGGCTCTGAGCTGTCAGCACAGAGCCCGACATGGGGCTCGATCATGACCTAGGCTGAAGTTGGACGAATAACTGACTGGGCCACCCAGGTGCCCCTCCTTTTCACTGTTTTAAAGTTTTTCTATACCTGTTGAAGTTGCTTTCTGAATACCTTATATTTTTGATTGCCAGTAGGAGTTGCTATGTTTCTATTTAAGTTTCTAGTTGGTATTGCCGCTCTAGATGTCGAAATTGATCTCATATCCAGAATTGCTCACTTGTTCACCGCTTGACTTCGGGGGGTGGGGGGGGGACGGTTCAGAATCACTGTACCCTCCTAAGGTGTTTTCCTCTTGATATCAAGGCACCTGGAAGGCTAAGTTCATCAGAAAACGGCATTTGAGCACGGGCTCAGACCAAAGAAAATGCTAGAAAAGCACCATTTAGATCCCCACCCCAACAGAGGATATTCTTGTCCCCCCAGATTCAACATCTTCCTCCTGACTCCATAATGCACCCAGGTATATTCTGCCTCGACGCTGATGGCTCCTCCTTCCTGCGTTGAAACTTCATACATATATATATGTAATAAATGGATATTAACATCACATACTGAATCATCATACCTATGAGCTTGGGAGTTATTCTGCCTCCTCTCACAATGCATCCATACAATAATCCAAATACTTGTGGTCCCAGAATGTTCACCACAACCAGCAGGTCAGCAAGTACAATCACTTGTTCACCCAGGAATCTTTGGTCCCTGAGGCAGCAAGGCCCCATGGTGCAGGATCAAAAGTTAGAAGTCTATCGGCCTGAATCACCGTTTTCCTGAGAGGTATTAATTTTAAAAGCTTTTTTATATGGAAAATCACATCTAGGGGCACCTGGCTGGCTCAGTTGGTTAAGCGTCCGACTTTGGCTCAGGTCATGATCTCACAGTTCGTGGGTTCGAGTCCTGTGTCGGGCTCTGTGCTGACAGCTCAGAGCCTGGATCCTGCTTCCAATTCTGTGTCTCCCTCTGTCTCTGCTCCTCCTCCACTTGTGCTCTGTCTCTCTCTCTCTCAAAAATAAACATTAAAAAAAATTTAAATTTAAATTAAATTAAATTAAAAAAAACATTTAAAAAGTTAAAAAAAGAAAATTCACGTCCAAAAATTCCCTTCCATCTGTAGTTGGTAACTTACCACCTGCACTTTAATGGATGAATAGGATTAACTGGCCATGCTTAATCTTGTATTTCTTCCAAGAAAAATCCATCTCAACCAGGTTCAAGATGAAAGCTTTCAGGGAGATAGCATCTGCTGTTCTGAGTCAGTCACTGGATGCGATAAGCTTGTCTCTGGGATGATGTGCCATGGGCTCCTGGTAACCTGGGGTGACAAGGACCCCCCCCCCAACAGGGTCCAGCCTACCTTTCAGCTACAGGCCTGTCTGTGCATCTCGGCCACCGCCTCCCACTAACCTGCAGGGGGTGCTGCGTCCGGCCTGTGCACAGCAGGCTTCTCGAAGAGGTTTCTTGCTTGCTTAACTAGTAACAACCCTTTCTTCCCTGAGCTCAACAGCAATCACCACGATGGGCTTCCTGACGTCAGCAGAGGCCCCAAAGACACACACCTCGCAGATCTTAAATGGCTTTATTAAAGGTTATTAATATAAAATACAACCAAGTTACAAGTCGTCAGTAAGAATTTTTCATGTTTTGGAAAACGTATATCAAAGGAAGGGAGGTGCAGAGGAAGGGGGTGGCTCTGACATCCACGTGGGGTGCGGCGCACGGCAAGGGCTGGGTGACTGGCCCCAGCTGTCCCCAAGGGGCAGCACTCCCAGACCCAGAAAGCGGGGTAGGGACCCCCAAGTGGAAGAACTGAAACTGGTTTCTGACTTCCTGGGGGAGAGTTTACGAAACACAGTCACCCGGAGGCAGACGCTACATCCGTGAGCAGAATCCCAGGTGTGCAGAGGGGGAGCGGGGGACACCCCAAAACCAAATACAGGCTTCAGCTGAAAAGTGTGTATTTTTAAAATAATAAATATAAACTTATGGTTCTAGAAACTTCATCCTGATACCGGGGGTGGAGAGGAAGTGGCAAACAGAAGAGCTGAATTTTTCCTTTCTGAACAGACTCCCGGGGCGGGGGAGGGGGGCAGCAGACATCTTTGCCCAGACCACCCGTGGTTATTACGAGAAGGATCAGCAGGTCAGGCAGGATGGGGACTCACCAGCCTGTGTCCTCCAGGCCCCGTCATGCCTCCTTCTCCGAAGCGGAGCAAAGCAGCACGACTTGAGGATTTCCTAAGTTTTGATTTTACATTTCATCTCAGGAGGCTGCTCCATCATGAAACATTAAGCACTGTCGTAAGTGATCACTAAACACTCTGGGTAGCGGACCCCGGGTGGCACCGGTGGGGGTCGGGGGAGGCAGAGGCTTTAAACACCGCCCGCACCCCCTCAGCCCCCGGGAGAACGTGAAAGGAATAACTGGGCTTTACGAGAAAGTCAGAAAGAAATGAGAATTGTCTCGCAAGAGAACAGACAGATCGCCATGGGCTCACCGTCCCCGGATGTAGCTCTTCCCTGGCACAATCAGCATCAAGAAATACAAACTCACACCTGTACCTCTCTCTCTCTCTCTCTTTTTTTTAAAGGAACCCTGTTTTTAAGCACGGGTGTTAAAACAGCCCCTGCCCTCCAGGCTGGAAGTGGAGGCAGGTGGTAAGCCCGGCTCTGAGGCGCGGTGGCTGACGCGAGGGGCTGGCACCCTGCCGTGCTGTTCCAGCTGGGACTCCTAGGTTCCCTTCCCCCTCCCCACCACGCTCCGAGCCTTTTCTCCCTCGCATGTTTCAACCATCCCTACATGGTCCCAGAAGAAATCCGTCTTTGCCATAACGCAGCCAGTCAGCACTGTAAGGAAGGTCACATCCACACCCCCAAGGGGCCAAATGAGGTTTGGGGACATCGTGCAATTGGCAGAAACCAAGCCAAACGTTGGCCGGGCTGCAGCTTTGGCAGAAATATTCCTGGGGGAAGAAAGATTGCCACGTGCTTTACCTTGGCGCCAGAGAAGACGCTGCGGACAGCACTTAAGAATGTCATAGGAGGCAGAAACGCATGTTTAAAAAAGACACACTTGGAGACTGGAACCGGGCGCTCTCTGGCAGGGCGCGCAGGGGTTAAGGCTTCAGGTGAGGAGAACACAGTGAGAGGCCACGCGGAAGTCACACTCGGCACGTCGGGCAGGCTCACGCAGCTCGGGGTCATCAGTCAGGGCACGGGCTTCCCAGGGGAAGGGCCACGGTCCTGCTCCCCCTGCCCCGGCCACGACTAGGGCAGGGCCACCTGGCCCTGGCGGCCCATCTGAACTGCGGTGGGCGGCAGGCTCACACGGAGACGCCGTTGATATGACCACAAGGGTCCGCAGGGTGCTGGGGCACTGCAGAGACGACGACTCCTGCTGGTGGTCAGGGATGGTGGATGAGATCCATTAGGAGGCTCTAACCAGTCCTTGGGACGAAGGACGTCCACGGCCCCTGCCAGCCTCCTGCTGGAAGGTTCTACCCCATAACCCAACTGATGAGAAGGGCTCTGTCCTCTAAGCTCTGGCATCTGTCCTCACTCCTGCAGACGCCCAGGACCCGGAACCGCCACCAGGGCCACAGAAGTAGCAAAGAACCTCCAAGCAGAAGCCAGTAGACGCCAGAGAAAAGTGGCAGCCTTACAACCTCTAAGTCTACATACAAAATAATGGAAAGTTAATACAAAACTTTTAAACATGCAGCTCTTCCTAAACAACAATGACTAGTTTCGGTACGTTTTGGGGCGGCCTAAAACCATCTCTGCTCTGTGCCAGCAGTGGGTCTTCTGGAAATGACGAGAGGGTGGAGCATGGCACACGATGCAAGAAGTGTGGCGTCAGGAAGCCACGGGCGTCAGGGAATGTTGGGTGGGAGTGGGGGAGGGGAGCCACCTTCCCGTGGTCACAGCCAGCCGGCCGCTAGTGCCAAGGGAGGGCGTCGCCAACGACCACCCGGCAAAGTTCACCCCACTCATTTCAAAAGGGGAGAGGCTAAAGGAGAAAGAGACGGAAATCGCTTTTATGGATTTTCGTGGCAACACGGTGAGAAAGCATTCTCTGAGGCCGGGGCACCACTGGATGGAACTGGGAACAGAGGCTTTATTCACGAGACCTACCGAATGCCTTTACAGTCTTTTAAAAATTCCAAATGTAAAACTTCTGTTATCAAATCATTGAAAATAGCATATATATCTGGCCTTATGAAAAAAGAGAAAAATCTGGAAATCCGGACAAGGCGATATTTGCCAGTTTCCAAACGAGTAAGAAAAGAGTGTACAGAAACCAGGAAAACACATGGGGAAATATTGCCCTTTTGATCCTCCTCCGCCACACCACTTTGGAAAACATTTAGGGGTTCTTGGTTTTATTATTATTATTATTATTACTTTGTTGCCTGATACATTTTACCAGTTGTCCAGAAAATCGAATCCTGTCTTCAAGACGACATTGCTTGAGGTGACCTGGGGGAGGGACATAAACAGCAAAGTAAGATACATTTTTTTTTAGTTGTGTATAATCTAAAAACAGCATCTCATTTAAACTGACCCAAATGAGATACCTTGCTTCCATCTCAGAGGCTCCCTGACCTCAATTTGCCTCAGTGCTTGGAACCAGAAAATGAAATAAACTTCAGTGTGCGCTACACGCTCCGGGCTCTCCCTCCGTCTGTAGGCAGGTCTGAGAGCAAGTTTATCGACCGAGCCGCAGAGACAAGGGGAAAAATGTATCTCCTCTACCTGTGCATGGACAGGCATGTTGGAACTTAGTCGTCATGAAGTAAGAGGGCAAATGTCAGAGACAGTCTTTCTACTGCTTTCTAGCACACACACAGCGATCCGCCGGTGGGCTGCAGCCTTCCTGGGGGACGACACAGTGACACCCCACCCTCCACGTAGCTGGCGAATGGCAAACCACGTATGTGGACACAACAGCAGCAAAGGACGTTCCCCGGAAGCCTGTCTCGGGCCGGCGTGGCTGCATCTGCCAGTGACGCAAAGTGAGCGCCGCCGGACTTCAGGCAAGCCGTCCCTCTCTCTGCTTTCCTGCTGGGTCTCTTTGGTGAGGCTGGCACTTCACTCTCTGCTTTGCACTCAGACATCTGTTCTTTCCGATGATTTCACGTGTGGTCTCTGACTCTGCCCTTGCCCTATGCTTTCCTGCGTCTCTACCATTACGACTCCCTCACGCTTTATAGGTCAGAGGAAGACTCCGGTGCCAGGTGTCAGAGAAAGATCACTGGGGAGGCAGAGAGCCTGGCAGGTGTAGAAGAAGGAGCAGGCGGGCAGGAAAGGTAGAGACACAGAATGGAGCCAAGAGACGGAGCCAGGAGCCACAGGAGGCAGGACGGGGAGGGGCCGAGAGCGCTGGCTTACGAGGGTGGGTACGCCGAAAGAACGGGCTGGAAAGCTGAGGTGCAGCGGATGGAAGGTGGGTGGGGCTCCTGCCACAGCCCTCCCCCCCTTCTTCGGGAGGACAGCTCACAAGGTCATCTGCTGAGAGAGGAGTGGGAGCACCTGGAACCCCATTCCAGGAAACACCCAGAAGATGACCACAGCTCAACAAGACAGGACACAGCTGTTAAAACGGATTCGAGCCAAAACTGGCCAATGAGCAATGCGGTAAGGTAGTCAACATCAACATGGAGACATGCAAATCCAAACCACAAGGAGGCCCACAGATACCATCTGACAGCCACTAGGGTGGCCAGGATCAAGAAAGAAAACACGGGGAGGTGAGGAAGTGGAAAAAGCGACCTTCTCGCGCACCCCTGCAGGGAAGTAAAATGGTGCGGCCACTGTAAGAAACAATATGGCGGCTCCTCAAAGAGCCAAGCACAGAATCACCATACGATCCATCCATTCCTCTCCTGGCTGTATATCCCACAGGATGGAAATCAGGGACTTGGAACAGATCTTTGTACAGCCGTGCAGACAGGGGCATTATTCTCAAGAGCCAGGCAGCAGAAGCCACCCAAGTGTCCGGCGGCGGACAGAGTGGATAAACAATGGAGGTAAATCCATACTGTGGAGTATTATTCAGCCTTCAAAAGGAAGGCAATTCGGACGCATGACACGATGCGGATGAACCCCGAGGACATTACGCGGAGGGAAATAACCCAGTCACGAGAAGATGGATACTATCTGATTCCCATGAGACACTGAGGGTTAGTCACCTTCCTGAAAATATAAAGCAAGATGGTGGCTGCCAGAGGCTGGGGGAGGAGGGGAGAGGGAGTTGTCTAGTGGGTGTAGAGTTTCATTTTCAAAAGTGAAAGAGTTCTGCAGATGGATGGTAGTGACGGCTGCGTAACAACGTGAGTGTATCTGATACCACCTCTGCTGGGCGACAGACTCCATGTGATGCATTTTATGTTACATATATGAACCACAATAAACATTTTTAAAATATGTATTCAAAGAAAAAAAAAAGACAGCCAAAGGAAAAAAAAAAAGAAAAAGACAGGAGCGCCTTGGTGGCTCAGTCGGTTAAGCATCCAACTTCAGCTGGGATCATGATCTCGGGGTTCGTGAGTTCAAGCCCCACATCGGGCTCTGTGCTGACAGCTCGGGGACTGGGGCCTGCTTCGGATTCTGTGTCTCCCTCACTCTCTCTGCCCCTCCCCTGCTCACACTCTGTCTCTGTGCCTCAAAAATGAATAAACATTTAAAAAAAAATTTTTAAAGAAAAAAAAAAAACACAGCCACACCAGCAAGGCGCACATGGTGGGGTGTGTGTGGCAGGGTGCCCCCTAAAGCATGCCTGTCTCTCTTGCCAATAGGAAACTTCCCTAGGATCCAAAATCCAGACCCAAACCTAAAGAGCACTCTCTTGCTCCCTCTGGCCATCCCTATGTGTGAGTAGGTGGTTCCTTTGGAACCCTCCTGCCCTGCCTGCCTCGGGACTCACACGACATGAGTGTCAGGAGGCACTAATGTTCCCGGGGTGTGCTGTCCATCTCTAAGAGGGACGGGACATAGGACCTTGTCTAGGGTCTCACCCAGGTGCATGAGCAATCCAAGGTTTCCCCCCCAGAAACAGTTCTCAGACATGCCTACCTCCAAACTAGGCTTCCCTTTGAAATATAAGGACTTTTGGGGTGGTTTTGTTTGTCGATGCACTCTTCCAACACTAGATCCCTTTCAAGTCCTAGCCAAACCCTTTGCTTCCTCTTCACCATCTCGATCTCTAACTTAAGCGATACAGACCGACTGGTAAAGACGCTGGCCGATGCTCCCACAAAGAAATGGGAAAACACTCACATCCTTATTCTTCTACACCCTTATTCACCTTCATGACACACTCCTCCTCACCCAGTGAGCCTCCCAGATCTTTCTTTTGCTTCCCTCCAAAAAGAACTCCTTCCTTAGGATTCCTCCCTCGACACATAACCCTATCCTGCTTGGAAACGAGGAGCCAATCACAACCTTGCGGCAGGAGTTTCCTGTGGCCCCTGAGAACAAGAGTGGCTGCTCTTGGTGGAGCCTCAGGGGTCCTGACCGCTTCCTCCGTGCCCCCTTTGGGGCATCTGCCCATCCCTTCCTTCCTAAAACTCCAGCCCAACTTTACAGACCCCTTGGTGGAAGGGGCGTCCAAATCCCTCCTATACTGACCGCCTCCCCCCTGCGAGCTCCTGTGCTCACAGCCCTCCTGAAGGCCCTCCCCACCTCACATTCATGGGGAAGGGCAGCAGGCATCCATGGCACACCACACATAATGGGCAAATGAGTCATGGCACCGAGGTGGACCCATGAAACACGCCCCCTTGTGGACTGGTCAGTCACCCAGCTGAGCAACAACCCCGATCTCCAGATCCCAAGAGCCGCCCAAGGAACAGGCAGGGTGAAGAAGAGGGAGGGGAAGAAGCAAGCGTGGGCATCGGTGGCCCACCTGTCTTGTGGGACGCCTCCCGGGGTCACCCCTGGAGAAGGGCGCCCACCCACCTGTGTAGGCATGGGCTCCGAGAACAGAGAGTCTTCCACATCTTCCACGTCGTCCCGCCCGGCCTCGGGAGAGGACAGCTTCCCCTCGGGCTCGGATGGAGTGGCGCTGGCACAGGCCTGGACGGGCTGGGGTCTCTCGTCAATGCCGATGCAGGGAAGACCCCGCTGCTCCTGGCGGAGGTGGCTGGGCCTTTCAGCCTTGGGCTCCCTGTCCTTCATGGCAGGGTCCTGACGGTAACAGGCAGGCAGGACCTTTTCCCCTTTCTCCATGGACTTGATCTGGCTGGGGGTCAGCGACTGGAACTCGGCCTCAGGCCCCTCTCCCCGGGAGCGCTCTGCATTGATCTTCCAGAAGGAAGCTTCCTCTTCCTTCCGGGCGGGACCCAGGGCATCCAGGCTGGAGGACTTGCCGCCCTGGGAGGGACGGAGAGCCTGCGAGCCCTGGGAGGTTTTTGACGGCTGCCTCGACTCACAGGCGGTGCCGCTGCCTGGCTCTTGGATGGACAAGGAGCAGACGCTGAACTCCATCTGACTCTGCAGCCGGAACACAGAAAGGAGAGAACCAGCCTTACAACCCAGCGCAAGGGCTGCAGCAGCTCAGGCCTCCACCCGCCCAGCAGCATCGACCCCGGGGGGGGGGGGGGTGTCCATCTGCCGAAACCGTCTGCCCCCCCTCCAGGACGGCCATCAGCACACCCACCGCACGGGAGCCCAGCCACCCAGGCCCCCAACCGTGCAGAGGCTCTGACTCACTCGTGACCGAGGCCTCGCTGCCTGGTGAGCAGAGCACCCCTTTGTCTCGTCGGGACTGATTCCAGCACCTTCCAGAGAAGGAGCTGTCTGGCAGCGATGGCCCTCTCTTGGGGAGGTGATTAAGAAGGTGCATAGCCCAGCCCAGCCCAGCCGTGAAGGTCTGCACCGGTCCCCACTGCCCAGGCCCTTCGATCTTGACGTAGGGCGGCAGGGTGGGGCAGACAAGCAGGAAAGTAACCAACAGAGCCAGACCCTGCTTTCCGGGACAAAACCACGAAGGTCAAGGGTGGGCCTGAGTGCGGCCTTGGAGCCCGGATCCGCCCAGCCTCGCCTGACACTCCACCTTCATGTCTGCGACAGGAGCATATGTCTGTGTGGCCCAATTCTCACGCAGAGGCCCTGACTCCCAGAGTGACGGCAACAGGAGGTGGGGCCTCTGGGAGGTGATCGGGCTGAGACGAGGTCATGAGAATGGGGCCCCCACGATGAGATCCGTGTCCCTCTAAGCAGAGACACAAGACCAATGATCTTTCCACCCCACTCATGGACACAGGAGGCAGCCATCTTGCAAGCCGGGAAAGCGGGTTCTCACCAGAACCCCACTGCACAGTCCCCTTGACCTTCAGGCCTCCAGAAGGAAGGTGAGAAACGAATGTCCATTGTTCAGCCCCCAACTCCCTCCCGCGTGTTTGTTACAACACAAGCCGAGCGAGACCGTGTGTCATGTTCAGGGGCCACCTCTGCAGCTCTGACGTCGTCCAGGTCCTGGAGGCCAGGACAGCGCCCCCATCCCGCCCGACTGTCCCAGAAACACTTTCCTTGATCCAAGCCTGCTCTGCACAGCCAGTGTGTGCCGTCCGGAAGACACAGCATTAGATGGAAGGAAACCCAAGTCTTGTTTCCAGGCCAGAACATGTCGGACGAGGGGGCCTCCCAGGCCTGCAGTCTGCCGCCTCTACCATCTCTACGATCAGTCCTGAACCATCCTGAACATTCCCCTCTTTCTCCCTACTTTGCCCTCAGACTCCTTTCTTCTTCTTCTTTTTTTAATAATGTGGATAATACATGGAGTTTAGGAATTAGAAAAGAGTATTTTTTTCCTTTCGTATGTTGGGGTAACAATTTGCATACACATATTTTATGAAGTTGCGATTCTGCTTTGCATGTGACATGGGGTGGTGGTGCTTCACCTGCTCACGAGCACCAGCCGTGATGTTATATGTGGTCTCTATGACCATTATTTGTACTGGGTCCAAGCTATTTCACGGAGGAGCTGCCTCATCGTCTCCTTAACCATCTTCCTACTCACGGACAATCTGCTACTTCTAATCTGTGTTACAACTATCTTCATCCACACAGCTCACGCCCGGGTGGACCTAATTTTTTTCAGATCGACTTCCGGAAGTGAACTATCAAAATACAAAAGCTCTAAACTTTCCCTCTTTTACGGTTCTAGATGCACACTAGCCAATCTGTTTTCCGGAGTTGCCTCAATTTCTCACGCCACCAGCGATGATATATATCTGAGTATATTTTCAGTTCCTGTTTCCATGTGGAAATGGCAGGATTTAAAACTGTGCTAACTTAACGTACAAAGCATGGTTCTTTATTATTGGAATGCGTATTCCTTCACCTGACAAAGAGCACTCACCCAGACCCTCACCAATGGGCACTTGCATGTGTGTTAGTGAAAGGACGAAAACACTGCTTTCCATGTGCAAACCACACATGCTGAACCCAGAGAGTGGCCTGAGGTCTTGGTCTGAGGCTTCTCCGAAAACCTGGACTCTGGTGGCGGGAGTTCTCTACTCAAGGCTTGTAAATGAGATGTGATGGAGCCATGAGAAACTAAATTCGAATCACAAGCACAGGCTGCCCTGAAGCTGGCCATTGTAACAGAACGCCAAGGAAAAGACATCAGAGCGCTGGCTCAGACATTCACAGATGCTTGAGTGCATCTAATGCATCGGGCACTTTTTCGCTGATGTTGAACTGGTTTTTTATTTTTTAAGTTTATTTATCTTGAGACAGAGAAAGTATGAGTGGAGAAGGGGTAGAGAGAGAGGGAGAATCCCAAGCAGGCTCTGCATGGTCAGCTCACTGAGCCTGAGTCAGGGCTCGAACTCACAAAACAGTGAGATCATGACTTGACTGACATCAAGTGTCGGACTGAGCCACCCAGGAGCCCCTTGGGCTGGGCTTTTTGTTGTTGTTGTTTTTTAAAATTTTCGTTCTACAAATGGGCAAATGGAGATTTGGAGCAATTCAGGACACCGGCCAATCTGGATCCAGTCATGGATAGAAAAACCAGGGGCCACCAGGGACGATGTCCACATAAGATGTCCACATAAACACCGGAGAGCCTTGTGCATGGCAGGACTTCTATAAGCATGTGAATGATCTAATTTGCCTTTTTAAAGTGCTGTTTTTGAATGAACCATTGTCAGTATTCTGCATATCTCCAAATTCCACAACAGAATACATAGACTGTGGGCACAGAGATGACAGTTTCTTTAAATAAGCAAGTTGCTAAAGATACCTCGGAAGTGGAGACCAAGGCTTAGAGCAGAGTTGACTTTGATCTGGAAATTGCAATGTAAGGAAGGCACTTAAAACTGAACACTTCATCAAGCCCCAGGCTTTTTTAGGATCAGCAGTTTCTCCAGTGGGATCTCTGCTCAGAAGCCTCTGGAAGGCTAGGCTGAGCAACTGTCTACGTGGAAGGCGGCCACGGACGGAGCCAGGGATGCTGTGGAGAGGAGGCAGTCACAGTGATTCCCAGACTGCTTTGGGCCATAGTTGGAAAGGCGCCCAAGCCGCACCGGCTGGACGGGACATCTGGCTGAGGCTGTGCCCATGGAGCCTTGGCCGGTCGAAGGCCATGCGGCACTCCTCAAGGGATAGTGTCACCTGGTCAGAAGAGAGGGCTATGCTAGCATTAGTGGCTACTTGCTTCTTAGCTTGCTAGAATGTCATGAAGAGGTAACAAGAGAATGTCCCTCAGGGTCTGCAGCTGAGTGAACTGCCTGGTGCAGAGCACGTGCTCAGGAAACACAAGCTCCTTGCTCTTCTCCCGAGTTCTGCACGGGGCATCGGCCACAGTCCCAGTGGGTCCCCTCTGGCCTCTGGCTCCTCTCACACCTTCCTCTGGCCACCAGGGGGTAATGGCGCGTGATACCTGTTGTCTGCAGCAGGGAAGCGTAGCAGAGCTATGGTGAACACTCCTCCGGAGGCCCCATTTTGGGTGCCCAGTGTCAGGCCATGGAGTCCAGGCTGCAAAGCTCCTCCCAAATAGTGTGGCCAAGCCACTGTCCTGTCCTATGGACTTCCCCAGAGTCTGAAGTTCAGAAACTGCTGGGGACTATCCCCCTCACCTTCCACCGTGCCTCTGAAGGTCACGCCATAGCAGAGGCTCTGAGAGACAAGTGTGAGGGGTGCCCTTCTGACACTGGAATACATCAGTGAGCAGGACGGGGACAGACCCGTCTCATGGAACTGACATGTCCCACAGGGGCCACTTCTGGACCCTGTGATGACCACCAGAAGGTGGAAAGTGCAAAGAAAATGAAGTTCCGTGCGCCATTTTCTTACTTCTGGAAAAAAGGCTGTTTTTCCTGGTGTAGAGAAAGTGGTCTAGGGAAAGGAGATGGTGTCAGCCGCGTCCCCCAATGCTGGGCAACACCGAGCCAGGGCCCAGCAGATGGACACAGCTTGTGAAGAGCAGCCGACAGGTCAAGGACTCCAGCTCCCCTGCCCGGGTACAGACAGGAAGTCGGGGGTGGGGGGACCCACCTCTGCAGTGTCACTCAATCTTTGAGATGGGAGATGGGGGAGTAAAGAAGAACCCCTCCCCCTCACAGTAATGGTGACGGCCCACCCCCGACATCCCCGGCGCTACCTAAAGCCCCAGGGAGGATGTGCAGAAGGATCTGGTCCAGCCAAGCCAGGACTGGGCGTCAGTCACCCCATGTGGGGAACTGGGTCTCAGCTGGCCACGTCCGTTCTAAAAACAGAAAGACCACAACTGAGCCCAGTATCTATTTTTACACTCCACTCACTGGAGAGGAATGTGTAATATTTCAGGAAAGGGGGAGTGCGTGCAGCCAAAACTAACTGTTTGTCTTGGCAACGTCCGACACATCTAAATTGTTGAGACAGAGGCTACGAAGCGTTGTCAGGAAATATCATAGTTTACTGGAGCAAATCGGAATAAATCCACAGGCCATTTAGCATCTATGTTCCCCACTTTCCCTCCAAGGAAGGAAGAGCAAAGATACAAAAAACTTTTAGAATCACAAAACCAGTAGAAGTGACAGCCTGACAGGGAAGGCACAGCATGACTTGGCCACTGGACACTGGGACCATCAGAGCCTCCAGGCCAGAGAAGGAGGGGCAGGGCCTGCTGGACTCCCCGCCTCCAATCCCAAGGCACTGGGCTCGGACCAGGGACTAGATAACATACTCTTATGCTCATCCCAGGGAGCAAGGAGCCCTACAGACACGTGGATTAATCCTGCTCTGGCCCACATGCCCGCATGTCAGGCAGAGTGAGCCTGGGGAAAACCCAACTGAGGCCCAAGAGCTGGGAGGTGCACCAGGGCCCCAGGTGCCCAGGTTACAAGGTTCAGGGATCGATGACAGCCTCCGCCCTCCAGGGGCTCATCCTCTCACGGGGACAACAACAGCAATGCCGTGTTTTCATCTAAGAGGGAGCAAGGGTGCTAGAGCACAGGGGATGGATACGGCCCTGGGCTCGGATGTCTTGTCTACACCCCACACTTTATGCCTTGATTTTCTTGGCTGTAAAATGTGGCCATGGTGAGGCTCACACGAGAGAATGCACTGAAGGTACTCAGCAAAGGGTGGGGCAGGGCGTGGGAGCCGCTCACCACCACCATGCTGGGGAGAATCGGAAGAATGTGGGTTTGCAGCGGGCCTGGAGGACAGACTGGACCCTCAGAGATGTTTGGGGTGGGGGTTGAGCAAAGGCACTGAGGCAGGAGAGAGCACGGCCCCTGGGGCAGAAGAGCACAGTGTCTGGGGGACGGGGCTGAGAGACATAGGATATACCAGCAGGAAAGACCCCTGGGGCCAGAGGCACAGGGCTACGGCCACCTGGCTGAGGGAACAGACACAACCCTCCACACATGGAGACCCAGGAAAGGTCAGGGCATCACAGGGATCAGCTCTGGGGCTCAGGAAGGAGAGCTGGGGACAGAACAGGGCATGGAAGAGGGAGCCGTGACTGCTGGGCAGAGACGAGGGGGTCTTGGTGAGGAAGGTCCAGGGACCTCAAGCAGCACGGGAGCCACCCTGTGCCCCCGTCCCAGCCTAACTCCCAGTCACAGCCTTCTCTGAGACCCTGCTGAAATCCGGACCCCTGCAAGAGCAGGGACACTGACCTCCCAGGGGTGAAAGAGTCCAGCGTGTGTGCAAATCCCGGACTCCGGGCACAGCATACAGGACGTATGACATCATTCGCTGATATTTCAAAAATTCAGCACGAATTCAGACTCATAAGCACTTACTCTTCTTCCCAAGGAAGGGGCTGGAAGGCCTCCCTCCTCTGGGAATGGTTTCTATTGGCCCTCAGAGACCTTTTGATACAAAAAGAAATCAAGGAACCGATCCCCACCAGCCATCACCATCCCCAAATAGGCAATGCACGCTGGGAGGAGGACCAAGATGGACAGAAAGCAGCCAGACAGCTGGGGCAGGGGGAGGGCCGCGTGCTTTGAAGGGGGGCTCAAAAGCCCAGCGAGCCAGCGACAGGGCCCGACCTGCCTCTGGAGACATCTCCTCTAAGTTCCCCAGCCCAGACCCACTGGGGAATGCCAAGAATCCTCTCTGCTCCCTGCCTCCCCTTCTCTGGAGCATTCCTAGTGCTGAGTTTCTTCCTCTAGAAAGACCAGTAGCATGAGAAAGGAATCTGCTGTGGGGGCCCACAGGCACCCTCCCCGCCGGCTCACCCGCCAGGCTGACAGATGGGTGGGAAGGATAACCACCACTCACCCCCAGCTGGGGGGGGGCAGCTCTCCCTCTGAGCCTCCCCTCCATCATGGAGGAGGGCAGAGACACAGGGGCGCCTGGGCAGGTCAGCCTCAGAGGGACAGGCCCCAGGCAGGGAGGGCTGGGCTGGAACACAAAGCAGGGGACAGCGGCTGCATATACCGTTCTGCACTTGGTCAGCCCTCAAGGGCACCCCTGATCAGAGCTGTGTGTCGCCGGGGAAAGGGACCCCAGGCGCCAAGCACAGGGCCCGCCCACACTCCATAGATGGAACCACCACGGGCTGGCCTCAAGGGAGGGGCCCACACAGAGTTACAACAATTGGCCGATCACCCCCAAACCCCTGGCATTCTCAGTTCTGCTAACTGTCACAACCCTGGGTCGGGCTCACCCTGGCCCGGTTGTTGTGACGATCGGGGGGCTAAGAGGTCAGAGCCAAGAAAGAGACGGTGAGCGCTCCAAGCCAGGCAAGGCCAACAGAACGGCCGCGGGAGCCCTGCCCAGCCTGCTGAGCCCCAGAGTCATAAGCAAAGAAACATCTGCTTTGGTCCATGAAGCTGCAGGGTATCTGTTAATTACGCAGGAGCATCCGCTCTGGGGCCCTGAATCCCACATCTGGGGATCGGGGCCGCCTCAAGCCACCTCCTGTCTGCAGCTCTTCAAAAAGGCTCTGGCCAGTCCTCAAGGGAGAGTGTGACAAAGCCCAAAAAGCAAGGAGGCAGGGCGCTCCAAGGTAAGGCTGGGGAGGCGAGTGGTGGGACTTTCTAGAACTCACTGCCGACGTGTGAAAACAGAGTAGACAAGCTTCTCTGCTCTCCGGAACGTTCTCTATTTTGTCTCCACAAGGTTCTAACACTAAACTACGTTAAGTCCAACTTCAAGAGAGCAAACCAAACGGTGAGGATGCCGAGGGAGCCCGCGCCCATTGGTTAAGTAAGCTGGTTCTCTGTGAAGTGGACCACATCGATGGACTTCTGGAGCCTTCTCAACTGACAAGGTGCCTGAGGGGCCTGGCTGGCGGCCGTGGACCGTTAGCACCAGCACAAGTGAGATCCGCATGGGACAGTTAGTTGTCCTCATCGTTCTGGAGACGGCTACGCCCCATCCCGGCACCCGCTCCAGCCACTGCCCAGCCCTGTGTCACAATGTCATCTGCAGCAAGTTAATAATAGATGGAACATCCTATCTCCAAAATAGCAGGCTCAGTAATATTTTACAAGGTAAATTCTTAATCGAGCTGATATTCTCACGGGGCATGAGATGGACTCGGGGCTTGGGACGTTATCACTCTTCTGACCTCCGTGCCTGTATCACTGTGATATCCTCAAACACAGGAGCCAGTCCAGGCAAGTCTGTGCTGCGTTCTGGGCCACCGTCTCCCAGGCCGTTTGATCCCACCCTGCTGAGCGTCTATTTGCCTCTGACCACTGGGTATCACCGGCAGGGCTAGTGCTTCTCAGTTACTCACCGCGGAGCCCCAAAAGAAGACTATGGCTCCTGGCTGAATGCCAGCGTGACGATGTAGTCTCTACCCACCCACGGCTTCCCTGACAGTGTCCCGAGACAGGGGATTCCTCGCTGGCTTTAGGAGCCACTGAATTTCCTGGCTGCTCCTGGATGGACGGTTTGAAACCAGGGTCCAGACCCCTAGGGAGACCCCGGCTTCCAGGCACACCGCTTCGCTCACACTGCTCTCTGCACAGACCTACATTACTAATCTGCAGGGGAAAGAAAAAACAGGCACATGCGGGATGCACACTCTATGTTTGCGTCTATATGTAGGGTGTTTAGGACCCCACGTAATGGTGCACTAAAGGCAGCGGGAATCCGCGCCCACAGGATGAACGTGTGCGCCTGCATTTCCAAAACCTCCTCCCAGCTCTCACGTGAGGACCAGGGCGCGCCTCCCCATCTCGGGACCAGGTCACCGGGCCCAATCAGCAGCTCTGTGTGTGTGCAACAGCGCCCCCTGCCCTCGTCCACCAGAACCTTCTGAAACGTTCCATTTTCAGACACAGGCCCCCTTCCCCGACGGGAGGGCTTCTGGGTGTCCTGCAGACCCCCTCACTGCCCTGCTCTGACCCACCCTCTCCGCAGGCCCCAGCCAGAAAGCCTGTGCAAGTAGAGGCACTTCAAAGCCCTGCTCCGACCTCAAGTCTGAGCCCCGTTCCGGGCACACCGCAGTCTTTGGGAAGAACCCTCCGACACACTAAATGTTCTAGACTCTCAGTCATTTTCCTTGGGTTATGGACACCTTTCTGTTGGTTACTTTGTCTCTTACTCATGCACTTCCACTGGAGCCACTAGGCAGGACAGAGGAAATAAACTAGAAACAGGAAGCCTGATCCTATGAACTAACTCTGGCAATAATCATGGTCATCAAAGTAAACAAGGGACTACAGGTCAGCGATCCAGGCTGCGCTGTACCGCTAACACCTGTCCTTGCGTATCCACTGCCCGGTCAATATCACAGGACACCAAGAGTGTATTTCCCTTCCCACCCCCTCCAGCCCCCCCCTCCAGCCCCCCCACCCAGGACTCTCACGCCTCCGAGCAGACTCTTCCAGGCAATGTTAATAGATCTGCAGTCTTGTTTCTGCCACTGTCTCTCTCCTGCCCCTAACCTGAGCTCATTTTAATAAAGACTGCCCCCTCCAGAAGCTTCTCTCCAAGTTCTGCCTTACAAAGCACCCCCACTAAGGGGCCAAGTGTTGGGGGGCAGAGCCAGGAGCAGAAAAAGCCCCAAATGGGGCTGACTCTGCTTTCCTGGGGCCGCTAGGGCCCTAGTCAAGGGGCAATCCCCTTAATTCCATCATGACGCCCCCCCCCCCCCCCAACCATGGGTTTCCTAGCTCTTCCCCAGCAGCCTCCGCTCCTCTCCTTTTCCACCAGCGGGGGCGGGGCGGGGGGAAATCACCTGCAGCCAGATGGCGGGACCTCCGCCTTCTGAGTCCACCGAGAGCTAAAGAAAAAATACATGAGCAGGCAATTCTTTTTCAAAAGGACAAACAAATCCAAATTTACTCCAACTTACCCTCGTCTCCCAGGAGAAAGGGGCAGAGTGCTCATCTTGCCAAGTTATGTCCTGAAATAGAAATTCGAGAGTAAGTCAGAAACCCCAACCCAAACATACCCCGTGCAAACATCCACCCAAGGCCACGGGGTAAGCAAAACTTAGGACTCGTCCCAACTCCGCGCTCGGAACAAGCCTGACGTCTGGATGCTCTGTGCAGACGGTGCTGACCTTCCCAGTCTGGCTTTGCCCTCAGCTTTGCGGAGGGGCCCAGGCACGCCCCTCCCCCACCAAAGGACACTCAGTGAACGACTGGGAAGCCCCGGGGAAGGTGGGGAACCAATGATGGGGATATGAGCAGAAAGGGAAAGGAGCTTTACACACTCCGGCCTCTGCTCTAGCAGGGACTAGACTAGATGGGAAGATGACGCAGCCTTCTGAGCCTCAGTTTCCTCTTCTGTAAGAGGAGAATCACACTTCCCTTGCAGGGCTGTTGTAACAATCCAATGTAGCAATGCAGGAATAGAAGGATGTCAGGCAATAGGCCTCCAGCCAAAGCCAGTGCAGCTGAGCGCCCCCACCGCCCCCCTGTGCCCAGCAGAGATCTCAAAAGGGCTGATGGGCAGCATTAATGAAGAACATGCCAACTTAATGAGAGCTCTGAAGTCACCCCTGCACTCCCCAAGAGAACACAATAGAAAGCGCCCTTCAGAACGGTAACTGAGAATCTGACCTAGAATCCAACATGTGTCGCTCACTGGCCTGAACAAATGAGAGGAACATCGCCTTTTCCTGGCTACCCTCTGTGGGCAGGGGGGCAGCCGGCAGAGAGCACAGCTGAGCCAAAGGACCCAAAGTCTCTAAAATTCTATGAGCCCAGGAGGCTCTACGTATCTCTTCGAATAATAAAACAAGAAGGATTTTTTTCTACACGGGGAAAGCGAAGGAGGCTCATAGCACTTAGGTATCATTTATTCTGGGTTTGCATCTGTGGGGGCAAAGGAAAGGGAAATCAATTGGCCAATGTGGTCCTTACACCAGAGGTGGGAGAGCCCAGGGGCCACCTCAGCGGACAGAGGAGGTGTGTGGAGATTAACTGGGCAGGCAGAGCAGGGAAGGGAGCAGACCCAGTGGCGCTCTGGAGCTGGACTCCCCTCATCACATGACAGGACCTATCCTTAAATGTTAGCTGTACAGCTGAGATCGGCAAAAATTAAAATAAAGCTTTTGGCTTTGCAAGGACGAAGAGTGCAGACTCCCAGGAACACAGACTGAGACGAGAGCGTGGTAAGCCCATATTAGCTGAAATTCCAAGGGGGCTGGAGACCAAGAGAGGGTCACACTGATTTCTCCCCAACTCGGTGTCAGGTCAATAGTCTGTCGTTTGCTCCAGCAAGAAACGCAGTCAAGGGGCAAATTCCTTGGATTTCTGCAATTCTGAGCTCATAAAAATAATAAAACGCTTAACAAAAATAAACACCCCGCGCAAGAATGTTATTGAAGCTCTGACATCAGCAGTGGCTGCACGCTCTGGCGCTGGGAACAGCCTCTCCGGGCAGCTGGATGCAAAATGGCATCAGAACCGCAAAGTGGCGGTGCGTGTGCACACAGTGTTCTTTCTTCCAGTCCCACGATGACCGGCAGGCAACCAAAACGTGGCCAGACCCATGCTTGGGGATGCTCATGGATGCGCTCTGTAGAGGCTGCTTGAAAGGGTCCCCTGCCGGCCCTCCCCGGGCCCGAGATCCAAAACGATCGAAACACCAAACCACTTCCGCGACTTAGACAGCAGGATGTTGCGGAGTGGGCTCTGTTTTAGCCAAGAGTTACCTTCACAGTCAAATTCCTCTCCACGAGGGAGGGCTGTACAGAGACATTGCTGCCTCTCTCTGAAAACTATTTCTTCTCTGGAGCACGGCACAGGACGAAGCCTAGAAGTCACCAGATCCCAAAGGAGCAGGACACAGAGCCACCAAGAGTCACCAGACACACAGCCCCCGGAAATTATCAGAGGCCAGCGCAACATGTGGGAGGCTCTGCTTATCCCCACGTGATCCCAAGGACTTGACGATGCACAGGCACCAACTAGTCTTTCCTCTAACTTCCCAGAGGCCCTGACTCCCTCTTGCTGGGAAATACTCACCCAACGTAATGTTCACTTTCCGATGGAGAAAGTACTTTAAAAAAAAAAAAAGAATGTCTATTCTCTGCCCGTAGTACCAGAAAGCATATTTGCACAAATCTCCAGCATTTACTTTACTATTTGAAGACTGGATGCCAGTGTTTTAAAGATCTCTGTGGGTTCCCTTCTGGAGGCCACAGCCAGCAGTGGGCTGGAGAGGGCTCGTGCTGATTCCCACAAGTGGACTTTGAAAGGTTTAGGAGTTTTTTGAACCTGGTGTTGAACATAGCCATTACTATTATTAAAAGAATTAAGGCGCCTGGATGGTTCAGTCGGTTAAGCATCCGACTTCAGCTCAGGTCATGATCCCACAGTTCATGAGTTCGAGTCCCACATCGGGCTCTGTGCTGACAGCTCGGAGCTTGGAACCTGCTTCAGATTCTGTGTCTCCTGATTTCTCTGTCCCTTACCCGCTCATACTCTGTCTCTCTCTGTCAAAAATAAATAAATATTTTTAAAAAGAATTAACAAGTGTTGGCAGGGATGTGGAGACACTGGAAGCTCACGCACTGCTGGTGGGGATGTAAAATAGAGCAGTGGCTGTGGGAAACGGTGCGGCACTTCCTCAAAAAGAGGAGACACAGAATTACCATTTGGTCCTGAAATTCCATGCCTAGATCTACAGCCAAAGGAACGGGAAGCAGCCACCCGAACAGATGCTTGGATGCTGGTGCGCTCGGCAGCATTTCTCATGCGAGCCAGAATGTGAAAATAATGCAAGTCAGCCTTCAAAAGGAAGGAGATTCTGCAACAGGCTACAACCTGGATGAACCTCGAAGACACTCCGCTAAATGAATGTGCCATCACCAAAGCACAGATGTTATATGCCACTTTTTTGAGGTACCCAGATGAGGCAAATTCATGGAGACAGAAAGGAGAAGAGAGCTCACAGGAGGCAGATGGAATGGGAAATTACTGTTTAATGGATTCAAAGTTTCTTTTTTTTTAATGTTTATTTATTTATTTTGAGAGAGAGAGAGGCACAGAGAAACAGAGAGGGAGAGAGGAAATCCCAAGCAGGCACCACCCTTTTAGCGCAGAGCCTGATGTAGAGCTCAATTCCACGAACTGTGAGATCATGACCTGAGCAGAAATCAAGAGTCAATCTTAACCGACTGAGCCACCCAGGCACCCCTGGATTCAGAGTTGCTGACAGGTGACAGAAAAGTTCTAGAAATGGATACGGCTAATGGCTGCACAGCAGTGGGAATATACTAATCATATACTTAAAAATGGTTAGAATGGTAACGTTTTGTGTTACATATATTTTCCCACAATAAAGAAATCTGAAAAGGCTACATACTGGATGAGTCCAACTGTATGCATTCTGGAAAGGGCAAAATTACAGAGACAGTAAAAAGATCAGCGTTGTTGGAGTTCAAAGGAGGGCAGAGGCCAGAGGATTTTATAGCAATGAAAACATTCCTACCAGGGGTGCCTGGGTGGCTCAGTTGACCATCCGACTTCAACTCAGGCCATGATCACACAGTTCATAGGTTCCAGGCCCGTGTCAGGCTCTGTGCTGACAGCTCAGAGCCTGGAGCTGCTTCAGATTCTGTGTCTCCCTCTCTCTCTGCCCCTTCCCCACTCATGCACGCTCAGTCTCTTTCTCCTCTCTCAAAAATGAACATTTTTAAAAAAGTAAGAAAACACTCCATACCATATACTTTAGTGATGGATACTTTCCTCAAAACCTACAGAAGGTACAACATCAAGAATAAACCCCAATGTCAACCATAGACTTTGGGCAACAACGGTGTGTCAAGTAGGTTCATCTACTGTACAAACGCCCTGCTCTGTTGGGGAGGCTGTGCACGTGTGGAGGTAGGAGTTTTCCACTCGCTTTTGCTAAGAACCTAAAACTGCTCTAAAAAATAAAACCTGTCTTTCAAAAAAACACGTCCCCCCTGAAAAAACCCTACAAAGGTAATAAACACTCAAAACTCATCACTTCCTAATTACCATAGTGCCTCTTGCTACCACCTATGGTCTTGGGGTTATTTTACATCTAATGCATCTGTAAGACATAAAACGCGTCTGAAGAAGACTCAGCGGGTGTGGCTGGCGTTACTCCTCCTCCCTGCCCAGTTAGGATTCAGTGAGTCACCCACAGGGCGGCGGGTGAGGGGTGGGGGTCCGCAATGCGGCAGGTGGGGGCTGGGGGGAAGGGTCCGCAATCAGAGGGCCCTGCGGGTATATCTGCCTCTAGACACAGCTAGTGCTACACACCAGGGGTGCTCCCTTTCACACCGACACGCCCCAGGCTGCAAACCAATACTGAACGTACTGAAATTCACCACACTCTACATCATGTGTCAATTCTGCGATTCAATTAAAAAAATTTTTGTTGTTGTTAATGTTTATTTTTGAGACAGAGGGAGAGACAGAGCATGTCAGGGGAGAGGCAGAGAGAGAGGGAGACACAGAATCTGAAGCAGGCTCCAGGCTCTGAGCTGTCAGCACAGAGCCCGAGGTGGGGCTTGAACCCATGAACCGCAAGACCACGGCCCGAGCCAAAGTCGGACGCTTAATCGACTGAATCACCCAGGTGCCCCTTGCTATTATATTTTAAAGTGACTCTGAATGTTGAATTTGAAATTATTTGGTTTACAGGCAACGCATCTATAACTGGTTATGATTTCTTTGTACAAGTCGTGACTATTCCAAAATTATTCCAGAATGAGAAACTCAGGGCTTAAAAAACTGACTTCAAATATGGTGAAATTTTACAAATATCAACCTTTCCTCTTAACGAACTGGATTAGACCCTACTGTGCATTTATTCTTTTATAACTTTCTTTCCACTTTCAGGGCCAGTGAGTTTTATCATTGTGTCTCAAGCATGTGGGACCGATGGCACCTGAGGACAGCACTGTCTGCGCTGGGTGCC